TCCTTTACCCTGTTGTCGTGTAGCCCGAGAGGGAGCGGAGACTTTGGATTCGGGCTTTGGCCATGGTGTTTGTACAGAGGGTTTGTGATGTCGGCGACGGTGGAAGGTGAAGGCAAGTGTAGCAAGCCATGCGTGGAGGTGAGTGTGCAGCACGTGACTTGCATGGAGGATGCTGCTGCTTACGTGGCACTATCAGCAGCCATTGATCTGAGCATGGACGCTTGTAGGTTGTTTAATCAACGGCTGAGGAAGGAACTCAGTCACCAGCGTGACTCCTTGGGATGAAAAGAAAGAAAAAAAAGATTTGATTTTTTTTTTCTCCAAGATAAAAGTTGCAAAAGGGTCTTGGGATTTTTTATTACATCTTCCAAAGGGGCCTTGCAAAAAGGGGGAGGAAGTGAAAGAGGATTTTGCCCCAACTAACAGAAAAAGAAGTCATGTTTTTTTTTTTTGTACAGTGTGGTTTTTGCATTGGTTATGTCTTATTTGCGGCAAGAGGAGCGAGTTTCTTGTTCACTCTTCTTTTAGCCCTCTTTGAGTTTCTAGACCTAGAAGAAGTGTAATATCTGATTTTGTGGAGTCTGCATTGTAAGATATAAGCTTTTGATGATGCTATTGTATAAAGTTGCAAACTTTACCAAGACCTCTAATTTAACCTAGGTGTTGAAGATGCCATTTTTACCCACAACTATATAGTACAATTTTGAGAGCCATTTATGTCTTCAAATTTCTCGGAGAGCAATTTTCCGAAACGCCCAGAATAGGTTTTAGGGTTTGGGATCCGATTTCGATACTAGACAGTTATTTTCGAACGCGAACCCCAAATAGTTCAGGTTCTAGGGTTCGAAATCTCCGAAAATTTGAATTCCTACAAATACGTTAAGTGTTCACATATCTACAAGAAGATGACAATGACCAAGCAAACGAGATATGCACAACATGAGAGCGATTTAGTGACAATTTCGTCAATATATCGGATTTAAATGGTATTTTATAATTGGGTAAATGACAAAAAAATCCTATAATTTGTATTTTGTTACAATTTAAACTCTTTACTTATTTTTTATTCTAAAAATCTTGTATTTTTAGATTATTTCCAAAACAAATCTTTTACTTTGCATATTATATCAATTTAAACACTATACTTATTTTTTATCCTAAAAAATCATGTACAATTAGATTATCTTTTAAAAATTCATATACTTTGCATATTATAACAATTTAAATCATATTTTTTTTAATTTTTATCTTAAAAAACTATGTACAATTAGTTTATTTTCATAAAATTTTCATACTTTGCGTATATGGACAAAAATAATATGACACCCGTATCCCATTTTTCGGCAATATATGCCACATGTATGAAAACCAGCTCGTTTTGAGTTGAACTTGTCAGACTCGATTTCAACCCGAGCCTAAAAAATATCGGATGGAATCGGTAAAAAAACAAGCCGGGAATGAACCAATTTGCGAACTGAGCTCATTTTGAAACCCCACCTCATTGTTCAAGTGATCATTGTCCTGAGATTGATCTATCTGTGTAGACTGTGTTGTTTATATGGCTTTGTCGATATCGAATATAACAGAAAACTCGGATACTTCATCCTTATATGTTTTTCTTAATTCGATGGGACGTTTATTTAGGGGTGTCAATTTGGGTCCGAGGTCTGAAGTCCGACCCGACCCAGCCCGAAAAATAGTGGGCTTGGGGCCGAAGTTTCTTGGCCCAAAAAAAATCGGGCTTTCGGGCCGGGCTCAAATCGGGCTTCGGGCTCGAGTCGGACCGGCACGAAAGCCCAAAAATTTTAAAAAGAAAGAAAAAAAGAAAAAAAATTAACATTTACAAAGGGAGGCCCGCGGGCCGGCCTGACCCAGACTGACCCAGCCCGACCCGATCCAAACCCGGAATGCATAGGGCTAGGCTTCGGGCTTAATTATATAGACCCAAAAAAATCGGACCGGTCCGAGTCTGAGCCCGAAACTTCTAGACCGAGTGCGGACTCGAACCGGGTCGCGCGGATTTACACCCCTACGTTTATTGGATCGTTATACACTCTTTTAGCATGTTACATGTCGGATTCAATTTTATGCAATTGTTAATTCGCATTGCGGAAAAGGCCTGAGTCCATTGGGCCTGAATCCGAATTAGCACTATAATGTCCGGGTCGGATCCTCCGTACGAAGCACGTGATGCCTGGGTTTTGACAACGTGGACTTTGGCGCAAAAAAAAAAAAAGAGAAAAGAAAAAGAAAAAAAAGAGGGAAGAAGAAAACAAACACATGCGAGATGGTTGTCGTATGAACATTCATCCCTTACGCGACAAACATAATCGATCGAATCGATTACCCTTTTTTTTTTGAAAAAAAATCAAAATCTGTCGTGTCCTTCGAGGATAAATTTGTGTTCCCTACCATTGTTGTAATTTTCCCAGATCCTCCTTTACCCTGTTCCACATCGTTCTTATCAGGGTTTGTCGCAGAGTTTCCCCACCAAAAAGCTGAGAAAAAAAACCCTAGGTGATCTGGGTTTTCTCCTGTTTGAATCGTCAGATCTAAGATTTCAGACAGGTGGGTTCTCTTCTGTTCTGCCCCCCGCGATTGATTTTACTGCATTTCGGATGTAATGTTGCTCTGTTTCTGCTCTCTCGGTAACGATCTTTTGCGCTGCGGTTTTTGTTGCTTTTCTGCAAAATCTGTCATCGCGTTGTCTGATAAATGATGATATCATTTCAAGTTTCGACTTTGGTTAACTGGCTTTGTTTGATTCTAGGGGAAATGAGTTTCGCCCGTTATTGCAGTCGTTTGATTGGATTACATTGGGATTTGAACTTCAGACCTAACTAAATCTGGTCCTGCTGTAGCCAACAGTTTTAAGATCAGAGAATCAAGATTCTCGCTGCTTTTTATTTTTTGTTACCAAAAAAAGATTCTTGCTTTTTATGTCCAAACAATGAACTCTGCAATTTAGTTCGTTTCTTTACTTTCTTTCCCAGCAGAGGCTGTTAGGCTTTTCATTTTAGTCTTGTTTAGCTAACCCAGATTTTCTTGAGGTGTTTAAAGGAAAGTTGTATTTGTTTGTATGACCATAAATCAACTCACTTTCCAGATGAGGAGTTTGATTTGCTAAATTTGGAGTCTCGTTGTATAAAAAATTGTGGGAGAGATTCTAAATGTTCATGTTGCTCTCTCTACAGCTGCTGTTGGTGATCAAAGTGGAAGGACATCATAGGCGTAATTATGTGGAGAAGTTCTCTTGGATCAGTTAGATGACGTAGTTGGAGGAGATTGTAGAAAGATATGAGATTAGGAAGAACTAGTTCTGCCGGGTCAGGATATCATTGTCCTGAAAAGTATATTTATATGTTTAGATAGTGATGTGAGCTTTCCACCGGATTTGATTTACATATGTTACGTCGTCTTGGATGGTTAATCGGTTTGAGCCAAAGAAGTCGGCAAGCAAAGAAGACGCTTGATGCAAAACCTTACGTGGCCAGGGTTAAGACAGTGCTAATGATTGACACGGTTCAAGAAATTGCAATCTATATCCACAGGTTTCACAACCTCGATCTCTTCAAACAAGGGTATGTGTTTGTATTTTTTTTTTCCTTTTGAATACCTGAGAAATGTTATCTTTTGAATATCAAACAAAGGTATTGCTAATTGCTATATGAGACATTTGAATTTTGTAATTGTTATAATGCCTTAGATGGTATCAAATAAAGATCACCATGAGATGGGAGGATAGTGATAACAAATCCGTTGGAATTCCCTCACGAGTTGTTCAGTATGAAGGTAATCTTATCAATCAGCTTTCTCCTGAATCACTATTTGTTTTGTTTTATCTTGTTATATAGCATGTGCTTGTGTGATTGACTGCACATATCCTGTGACCTGTATAACAACATACTTGTACTTGTCTATACTTTGATGGTCAGAATATTTCCCTGATTATTTAACTTATCATATTTTTTCTTAGTTTTAGTGTGATGACCTGAGAGGATTTACATTGATAAATCTTCGTGTCGTGTCACAGCTCCTGATAGCACTCCGGGTGATTCGTATGGAGTGTGGAGAATAGATGATAAAGATAATAGTTTCTCAACACAGCCCTTCCGCATTAAGTATGCAAGGCAGGATGTTCGTTTATGTACGATGATCTCATTTACTTTGCCATTAGAAAAATACCAGGTACCAATTTCCCTTATCATGTAATCAAAAAATTATGTAAACTAGGTTTTTAGGCTTTTCTCTAGCTGTAACTATAGCAGGTTGAATGATTCAAGGACCCAAGTGTTCTGAACCATAACTTATCAGCATAAACTGTTCGAAGAAGCATACTATGTTGCAATTCTTGAGATATGGATGATTTATCTTTTGTGAAGTTGAGTTTGTGAGCTTATTTTTACTTCTGACATTGTTGATCTTGGTCGACGACAATAATCACTTGATGTGGCATAAATGTTTTACTCATGTTTTTGGTTGACCCGAATATGCAGGGGACCTCTACGTCTGCCGTCATATTGAAGTTTGAGCTTTTGTATTCTCCGATTGCGGAGAATGTATTGGCCAAGCCTCTAGATACTTCTTCTGTGGCTGTTCATGAGTTTCGTATTCCTCCTAAAGCTCTCATGGGCTTGCATTCGTACTGTCCCGTGCACTTTGACACCCTTCATGCGGTTCTTATTGATGTGAGTGTCCACATCAGTGTGTTAAAATCTGCTGCTTACAGACGGCCTGCAAGTCTATCTAGGTTTGTCACCAATACTTTGGATCCTCTCTCTATCTTTCTCTCTCTTCCCCCCATGATGCCGTGAGACTTTTACTGCAGTGACACAAGTAATGGTGAAAAGGTAACTGGCGGCAGTGTTCAAGCTTCCAATAAAGTATGTGATTCTACACTGATTTCTGTTTTATTAAATCTTTTTCATATGTAAAGCTCTTTATTTGTTTTGGTAATGTGTCCTTTTGCTTTACGGTCTTTCTGAGGATTTTCACAGTTTCCGGGATGATGATTAGAGGTGTTGTTCCTCCTTTCTTTAGTATGTTTTCTCTTTCTTGGCTCATATTGAGGCTCACTAGGTTTTGTTCAGTACGTGAAAGTTGTATTTATTAGCAAGTGAGCAACATGTGAATGATGTTTCTTGAGGGATGGTTTTCGGTACGAAACTGAAATCCGCAAATTCTTTTGCTACTAGGGCATCTTTTCTGTTTGCAATTACCATGTTGTCCTGACAGTTTTTGAGAACAATTTATTAAAACTTTGTGGTTAACTTAGGCACTTGGTCAGATGGCTTCTACTGACAAGAAGCTGGTATCATTTGTTAAAGCCTTACTCAGAGCTCGTGACGTTATGCTTGAAGAAATACAAAGACTTAGCAAGGCAGTTGATCAAACAATCATCTCGACTGAGTTTATATCCACGATGAACGACATTTTGTTGTTTGATTCTACTCCGATGGGGAAATCAGTTGAAGATGAAGGTTCAGGACAAGGCAAGCAACAAAACAGTCTTGAGGTCCTTGCTTTATTTTGAAACAGAATGTTTGTTCTCATGCACTTATTTGGTTTCAGTCTTCTGACATATGAGCTAAATCTTGTTTCTCCATTTTTTGACACAGAAATTGGATGTAGATGATTTACTAAGTGATGGCTGGCTCTGTAGCTTAACAAAGGATCATCTATCTCGCCTATTTAACTTACTGGGCGGCCAGCTACAGTATCTATGGAGCGCCTTTTTGACTTTTCACCGGTAATCGCCCATGGACTTCATTGATCTAATAGGTCTCCTGGTCCAGCTTTTGTTTTCCTAAATTCTATTCATAATTCTCTTGGGATATCAATATTCTGGTCACTGATCTCTTTTCCTCTTTTTAGGGATAGCAATACAAAAGTCTTGGAGTATCTTTGTGATATCTGGACCAAGGATCGAAGAGCTGAATGGTCTATATGGATGGTGTATTCTAAGGTCGAAATGCCACATCATTTTATAAATAGCGGAATGGATGATTCTTCTCACAATGGTGTGCACAAGCGGGTCTCAAGTTTGTTGAAGTCAAATGATGTGAGTTATACCGTTTTCTTTTCTTTTTCTTTGTCGTTTGCAGAATTTTAGTCTTGGCTTCTTCTCATCTTGGTTTTGGTTTTACTTCAATGCAGCCTGCCCAAATAGCTGCTACCCGTGCTGAACTTCATCGTCGAAGTATTGCACAGATGCGAGTTAGTTCTGCTATCTACATGATTTACAGTTCGTATTTGCTCTGTTGTTGGTTGTAGTTTCAGACTTTAAATTTACAATTATTGCTGCAGATTAACAACCGGTCAATACAAGACATGTATATATTTGGAGATCCTATGAGGGTTCCGATCGTTATTATTGAGCGTGTTTGGAATGCACCGAGACGTACTTTCAGTGATAATTCGTATTTGAGACATGTGGATATGATTGATTCTAGCATACATCACGATGATGAGACCAGAAAGAAATCTGGAAGTAACCTAATGCAAAACGTCCGTGAACTAAAAGTCGTCATTTTCGTTCATGGTTTCCAGGCAAGTATTCTTACTGGAGTTTTTTCCCCATTTCCTTGTGTTTTCACAAACTTATGCAGCATATCATTGGTCCATATACTATAATTAATTGGGAAACCTTGTCTGTACTCTCTTCTAGTTCTTGCTTTGCAAGGTCGAAAATTTTGGCTTTTCTCTCGTAGTTTGGTGACCCCAAACCCAAAGACACTGGATTATGCCAACCATGTAACCTTGCTTGTGTGTTGTTCCCATTTCTGAAACTGTTTTAGCATTCCTAATGGTTTCTGCTTAATGCGGTAGAAGTATAAAGTACTCGGTTTGGTAAGAGAGGTTTGTGTTTCTATGGATAAGATAGCAGATTTCTTGAGGTAGATGCTCTGTCTTTTAACTTTTGTCAAAGAATAAAGGTTTGGCCTTTGAATCTTCAGTATTGGTCATTTCGTGTATTTTGTTGGTTTATTCTTTCCCCTTCACTTGATAGATCTTGTTTCGTTCGTCTTTATGACAGGGGCATCACTTAGACCTAAGGCTTATCAGGAATCAGTGGCTTCTGATCGATCCAAAGATAGAGTTTCTCATGTCTGAAGCAAATGAGGAGAATACGCATGGCGATTTCCGGGAAATGGGACAGAGGCTTGCGCATGAAGTTGTTTCTTTCCTAAAGAGGAAAATGGATAAATATGCGAGATACGGGCGTTTGAAAAATATCAAGCTAAGTTTTGTTGGACATTCGATCGGTAACGTCATCATCCGAACTGCAATAGCCGGTACATTCTCGGGATTTGAAAACTTTTTGTTGGCGCTGTTATGATTTTGGGCTTTGCTAGTTCTAAGAGTGAATTTGGTTGCTCTTTTTTGCAGATACTTTAATGGAACCGTACCGAAAGTTTCTACATACGTATTTATCGCTATCGGGTCCGCACTTGGGTTATCTGTACAGTTCGAACTCGTTGTTCAATTCCGGGCTCTGGCTCTTGAAGAAGCTAAAGAATACACAGTGTATTCATCAGCTCACTCTTACCGACGATCCTGATCTCCACAATACTTTCTTTTACAAACTCTGCAAGGTACATCAAAAGATTCAAACGCTTCTTCGGGTCCAGTAGATAGTATAAAATAGGCCAAACCCTAGTTAACCTCACCGTACATACCCGATAATAACCTGTTCTTGATTTTACTGTCTGGTTTCGAGTTCTTTCAGCAAAAGACGATGGAGAACTTCAAGAACATAATCCTCCTGTCTTCACCACAGGTACGTAAATTACACTAATGGTGGAAATGAGAATTCGAGTTTTTGATACATCGAAGAATGGTTTCAGCCCATCTGATGCATTGACTAAGGATTAAGGCGATGTTGTTGATATACCGATTGTTTTTTTCTTTGGTTAAAAAATGACGGCAGGACGGTTACGTGCCGTACCATTCGGCGAGGATAGAGTCGTGCCAGCAAGCGTCGTTCGATAGCTCGAAGAGGGCAATGGTGTTCTTGGAGATGCTGAATGACTGCATGGACCAAATAAGAGCGCCCAACGAGCAGCAAAGGGTGTTCATCCGGTGCGACGTCAACTTCGACACCACCTTGTACGGACGTAACTTGAACTCGTTCATCGGACGAGCTGCCCACATCGAGTTCTTGGAATCTGATGTTTTCGCCAGATTCATTATGTGGTCTTTCCCTCACCTCTTCCTTTGAATCCTCTCGAGGTTATTTTTTTTTTGGATTCATAGAGAAATACGAATTATTGTTGTATATTAGTAGGGATTTTTTTTTCTTGGACAAGAACCCGAAGAGGAGCAGTTCGTTGTTTTCTAGTTTCAGACAGCAACAATATGTTCAGATTCAGAGAAGTTGCGTTAGATAGTTTTTTTTTTTTAAAAAAAGAAAATGATAATTTTCTATCGAATTTAGTAAAATATTTTTATATATATTGACAAAAAACTATATTTGAATTCAAAATTTTCCAAATGTCTGTTAATTTAAATTTTCTAATTTTCCAAATGTCTGTTAAAAAAGATTATAATATTTTATAAAAAAAACAGATTTTTTTTCAAAAGAATCCAAAAAATTAGATAACTAATTTTAGATCTAATATATCTTATCTGAATAAAACGATATTATTATTATTTTTAATCGTGTTTCGTTATAAAATTTTAGTTCTGATGCCATTTTATATAACTTTGTGCATATGAAGATTTCGTTTCACTAACATGATAATTTTCAATAATATTTTTTTTTCAAGTATCTTATTATCCGCACCAAATCTTAATTATTGCCTGTGCATATTGGTGCTTAGCTCTACTATACTATAGCACAACTATATTATATGATCCTACTTTCATAATCTATCTTATCCTATCGATACATATTTTATAATACATTATTATTACATTATATATTTCTTTCCGTTCAAGGACAAAAAGAGAGTCAGTCAACATTCAACTCATCCTTCTTTTATATATATAAAAAAAAAACATTCAACTCATCCTTGTCTTTTTCTATTCGTTAAAATGCTTAATTTAAATATAAATTCCTTCTTCTTCTTTTTTCAACAATGCAGATAGAAATAAATAGTATGAAACAACTAAGACTAAGCTCCCAAAAAAAAAAAACAAAGCCCAACAAAAACAACACGTCAGCGCTCTAAAAAAGACAAAATTATTTGTTGAATTTAAAATTTCCGAAAGTTTCTACACCTAATTTTTTTTTGTTTAGTTCAATTATAGTTAGTGATCAAAATTTAATATTTATATGTTAGTAATTAGGATTCCAATCCAATAATTTTTATGAACAGTCTTAGTAATTAAATTATTGAATTATTGATCTGTGACAATAATTATATTAATGTTTTGTCAACTATTAATTTTATTTTTAGAAACGAATCCCACTGCATTTTTCTTAAAAGTAAGTCTCCGTTCATTTTCTAAATATAAAAATGTTTTGAAATACAAAATTTAGAAGATTCATGAAAGATTTACACGATGAGGATTAAGACCTATTTCACACCATCTGCAAACAAAAAAAGGCTCTAAGAACATCTAATGTGTATATATATATATATATATATATATATATGTATGTATTAGTGTCTGAATCTTGAGATCATTTACTTTTTGTCTTTGCTAATGAGAATGCCAACCAGTTTGCAAGGCTCGGCGTCTTCAATCATCTCGACCACTTTCCTCATGGTCGGCCTCGAGCTCGGAACCCTGGCCGTACACATGATCCCTATCCTCAGTATCCTGATGGCATCTTCTCTGTGTATTTCCTCTATCCTTTTGTCCACCATTGCCATGACCTCCTCTTTGCCCTTCAGATTCTCGCTCACCCACTTCACTATCTCCTTCTTCTCCCCCGACTCCGTCTCCTCTATCGCTTTCTTCCCCGTCACTATCTCCATTAACACCACCCCGAAGCTGTACACGTCGCTTTTCTCGTTCACCTTCCATGTGTATCCTTGCTCTGCAACCATAATATCTTGCTCAGTTTATACATTCTCAGAGGAATTTGATCTGTATATATATGTATATGTATGTGTATATATACCTGGAGCGATGTATCCGTACGTCCCAGCGACGATATGGGTCGAATCGAGACCTGCATTCTTGGCCTGGAGGATCTTTGCGAGGCCGAAATCGGCTATCCTTGGCTTGAAGAACTCGTCTAACAATATGTTACTGGACTTTACATCCCGGTGAATCACCGGCTTCTCGTACCCGTGATGCAAATACTCGAGCCCTTTAGCCGAGCCTAGAGCGATCTCGTACCTCGTTACCCAATTCAGATCCGATTTCTTCTTGCATGTGTGAAGCATATCCCATAAGCTGCCGTTTGACAAGTGCTCGTACACTAACAAGCTCGAGTCCTCGTTCGTTATGCTGCAATATAGCTTCACTACGTTCACGTGCCTTATCGAGCTCAGTGTTTCGACCTCTCTGTCGAATTCTTTCGATTTCCGTTCCCATTCTGTGAGTATCGGTGTCGAGCTTCGGGTTTTGTTATCAGCTTGAAGATCTTTGCTGTTTCGTATGTGTTTCACCGCGAGTTCTTTCCCGTCTCTGAGTGCTACTCTGTATACGTCTCCGCACCCTCCTCTACCGATCAAATTCTCGTCTTTGATCGAGTCGAGGATCTCGTCTTCTGTGAAACTCAGCACGCGGAACGATTTCAGGCTCCAAGATTCTCGTCTGAGTTTGCGGTCGAGATCCTCCTCACGTTTCTTCGAGTACAAGAAAAAAACGAGGGTCGTGATCAAGATCAGTAAACCTAAAACCAGACACAACACAAAGATTCTCGTGTCCCGATGCGATCCAGAAGAAGCGGAACATCGGTTGAAAGACTTGATTGTCATGCTGCAGAGGCTAGGGTTTCCATCGAAGCTACCATTATAAGCCGCGATGGACAGCGATTGCGGAACAGGACCCGACAGTCTGTTGTTAGACAGATCAAGAAGACTAAGCCTAAGTGACCCTAAACTCTGCGGAATCTTGCCCGAAAGCTTATTATCCGACAAATTCAACGAATTCAGTGTCGGGAGAGATCCAAACGTGGCCGGAATCTCGTCGGAAAGTGAGTTCTTGGCCATGTTTATATCGCTGAGAGCGGCACAAGAGCCTACTGAATCCGGTATACTACCAGTTAAGAGATTGCACTGCAGCTGCAGACTGCTAAGTCTCTTCAACTTCCCAACAGAGCTCGGGATTCTGCCCGAAAGATGGTTATTGTTAAGCTCGAGAGCGACCAGAGATTCAGCTCCATCGATCTCCGACGGCAGCTCATCCGACAACTTGTTGAACCCTGCTAACAATTTCCCGAGCATTTTAGCATTCTTGACGCTTGTCGAGATCGGACCTTCGATCTGATTCATAGCGATGTCGAGAATTTCGAGTTTCGGTAAGCCCCATAAACCCGAGGGAACTGATCCAGTTAGCGAATTGTTGCTCACTCTGAAACGTTCCAGAGTCGAACAGTTGGCATAAGAATCCGGTATCGACCCTGTGAATCTGTTCTGCAACATCAGGAGAGCTTTCATGGTTCCGCGTTTGCACATGTCCGGAGGGATTGGTCCGGAGAGAAGATTCTCTGACACATCGATGAAGTCGAAATCGGCCCAGGATCCGAGTTCCTGAGGCAGAGGACCCGTCAACTGGTTTGTATACAGAGACAAGTTAACAAGCTCCTTGAACTGACCAAACTCTGTCGGAATCTCGCCGGAGAGCTCGTTCTCGAAGAGCTGCAGAGACACAAGATTCGTCAGGAACCTTAATTCCGACAAGTCTCCTTCAAGTAGATTCGTCGAAGCATCGAAGTTTCTGAGATTCGTCAAGTTCCTGAGTCCCAAAGGAAGCTTCCCCGTCAAGGAATTGCTGTAGAGCTCGAGCTGCCACAGCTTCGTGAGCTTCCCGATCTCCGGTGGAATATCTCCGGTGAGACTGTTGTAGGAGAGCTCCAAGTTCTGCAGCTCCGACAAGTTCCCGATCGCCGGCGGGATTTTTCCGGCGATGCTGCAGTTCGAGAGGTACAACCACTGGAGCTTATTCAGAGACAGAATCTCATCAGGAAACGGCGTCGTATCAAAAGGGTTGTCTCCGAGGCTCAAAACGACGAGACCCGTCGCGTTTCGAAGCGATTTCCATGGAAACGCGCCAGAGAATCCGCTTGTGTTCAGATACAGATACTGTAATTGACTCAGAGAGGAGAATTCAGGGAACGAACCAGAGAACAGATTGTTGCCCAGATCGAGATACTGCAGATTAGTGCAATTCCCCAAATCGTGTGGGATCATCCCTGACAAGGAATTGAATCCCAGAGAGAGTTTCCTCAGATTTGGGAGCTCGCAGACCGAATCGAACGGGAAATTCCCAGATAAATTCCTATTCCCGAGCTCGATCTCCTCGACGGAGCCTGTAGAATCACAGATAATTCCGGAGAATCCGCAAGCTCCGGCGACGGAATCCGGTCTCCATGAATCGAAGAAGACGGAATTCGTATCAGCGAGCGAGGATTTGAGCTTGAGGAGGACTTGGAGCTCGTCGGAGGAGACAACGAAGAACAGAGCGAAGAAGAAGGAGAAGATGAAGTTTCGCGAGGCCAGAGACATGGCCGGAGGAGGATATGGTGGTTTTCCGGTGGCAATTTTCACATCGGGAAATGTGGTTTTCCGGTGAAGCGAATTGAATGGAGGGAAGTTAAGAGAGAGAGCGAAGATGTTCGTCTCCTTCAGTCGGTCGAAAACAATATTAAATATTCAAATTTGGCTTACATGGTAATTCTTTTTTATTATTAAATATTTCTATTTACATACAAAAAAGTATAATAAAAGAAATGATTTATAGGTTTGAATAGATTTTAGCCACTTGACTAAATATGTGATTACTCTCCGGCCCCACGAAAATGAAATAATTTTATTTCTATAATAATATGTTCAATGTTTCAGCCAAAAAAAATATATATGTTCAATGTAGCAATGTTAAATTGTTATCATATTAACATCCAATATTTTTATTATTTATACACCCTCCTGGTGATGATTAAGTACAACCAAATGAATATTCATGACCCAATATGCTAACAAATTTATTCCCATTTTTTTATTTAACTTGTAAATACTCGTTCACATTTTCTATTAAACCAAAGATATAAAATCAATCCATTTAAACAGATGAATCAAGAGCTTAATTGCACTAATAGAAATGAATGATCTTCTTTAGATTTTATATGATTTTATTTTCGAAATAAGATATTATATGTACAATTAATATTATCTTAGAAAATTATCAATATTATATATATATATATATATATATATTTATATCATATTCTTTCCTTCTCTTAAATATTTATACTGATCAAGCAAGAAATTAGTGATCTCTCTCTATAATCCTAAATTATACATTATTATTTCAAATATATATAATTGTATGTATATAAGCTTCGGAAGGCGAATTAGGTAATATATATATATATATATATATATATATATATATATATATATATATATATATATATATATAGTGTGTGTGTGGGAGATGTATAGCGAGAATATATATATATATATATATATATATATATATGTAAATAAATATACATAGATATGGTGTATGTCTGGAATAGTTGAACCGAAAGTGAGAAAGACGTCACATCAAATATGCATTAACTGTTGTTTCACGTCTGGTTAGTTGTGGCTTGTTTTTTTGGATGTATTCATACATATTCTGATTATTTTTTATATTAATTATAGTTATGCTTTTAACTACCATTATAATGCATAATGCAGATCTCACACGCACGCATATATATATATATATATGCATAATGCAGATCTCACACGCACGCATATATATATATATATGTATATATCGCTTCGATATGCCAGTCGACAATGTAAAATATTTTCTTTCCGCCAAAGGTGGTTGGCTCAACTGGTAAGTGAGTATATGCAAAGAATGTTCCACCCAGGTTCTTGACAAATCACATATTATAAAAAAAAAAAATTTCTTTCCTAACACACAAAAAAAGATCTCTTTGGTACAAAAAATAAAAAATTCTCTATATATTGAACTCTTAATGCAATTGGAGACATTTTGATAATTTGCAATGGGTATCATTTGGAAAAATTAAAATAAAAGAAGAAAATCTTGTGATAAAATATATTTGGATCTTGATAAATAAATAAAAAAATCTTTGTGTGTCCATATATGTAGTTGATTGAGACTATATACTACAAATATCCGAATTTTTTAACTCAAATATAAAAACTAATATACTCCTCTAAAACATGAAAAGAATAATTTTCGATGACAAATATTGTCATTAATGAATTGGTGCCAATGACATACAGAGCACAAAATCATAAAATCCAAAATAAAATATAAAAAAAAATGTTGGAATTTTAAACTTTTTTTTAATGTAGTTTAATGGAAAAAGATGCATTAAAAAAAACAATAATAGGCGACACAATTCATGCAATAATTGAGGCCCATAGATAGAGACAAAATGCTTTGGAAGGCAAAGGCAAGTGCATGCACACACACGGCGACCTATTTTTAAAAGTGGACTTCACTTGCTTCTTTGCCTTTTATTATCATGGGGTCATTTCTATTATTATTATTTTTTTGATAACCGAGAGATTCACCTGGGCCTTCGGCCCAATCTACATCCCCTCAGGTCCGGGAGTAGCCTTTAGAGGCCCGCTGACAGGAATCCAGAGAGCAACACCCTCCCAACCGAGAAAACACCTCCTCCTTCCCCAGCAGCTGGATTCAAACTGGTGACTGGGGCCCCAAGAGCATCACCCTTTCAACCACTCGCCCATTATTTACTGGGTTCATTTCTATATTATTAGTTTTCAATATATCAAATCTAACGAAATTATTAATATATAATTATATTAAATAAAATTCAATGTAAAAGTTTGATTCTATATGATTCTAATGTGAAAGTTGATTGCTAAAATTGTTTCTAAATGATTTTTTTAAACACTTGAACACCAAAAAAAATGAAAATTTGAAATGGAAAACATTAAACACTAAATTACCGAATCAAAATATCAACGAAAAATTAGCATTCTGAAAAAAGTTTTTAACTTTATAATTCTTTATGAAAAGCTAATTAAAGAGCCAGAGGAAAGCCACCACTTAGTATAAACCAAAAAAAAAAAAAAAAACTCACCACTCATTGTATGAGATAGACAAGGAAAAGTCTAATATGGCCAATAAAAAAACTCTCAACAACACATGGGAAAATAAAAATAAATAAAGCTGACTGTGTATTTAATGTGATCTGTGTGCGAAGATGCGATTTTTATTATCTATAAGCTATAATAAGTACTAATTATATAAATCCATTTGACAAATATGTCTCTCTAACCCTTCAATCTAAACTTTATTGCACCGTATTTCGGATATAAATTATGAATAAAAATTCGTATGTCATTACACTTAAAAACATTACGCCATTTGCCAAATCACGTATTGAAATTTAGAGCGATTAAGTATTGTTATGTATTGTTGATTCATAAACAGTTGGAAATCGATATTTTATTGTTTAATTTCTGAGGATTCCCATATATCTTTAAATTTTGAATCTTAATTTTTACAATTTATAACATAAAATTCAACTGCTAAATTGACATTAAAAATCTCTTCTGTACTTCTCCTAAAATTATATAAAAAAGGATATATAAACTAAATCAAAATTTGTAAAATAAGAAACAAGATTATTATAAAAAAAAGAAAAAGTTGTCAGGAGTTGGTGGTTTAGTGACGGTAGAAGCGTAGTGCTATCCACACCTAGAGTTCGAATTCTGACAATCACATATTATAAAAAAAATTATTAAAAGACTATTTATATATATATATATATATATATATATATATATATTTATATTTTTTTTTTTTATTAACATAGAACAT